GGAGGAGGAGGGAAAAAGGGGGGGAGGAAGAGGGGGAAGGGGAGGGGAAGGGGGAGGAGGAGCAACATGGGGATGGAGTTGCAGGCATCCCTGAAAGCTAGCTCCAGGTCTCCCCCTCAAAGGCTGAAGGTCTAAAGAGCAAGGGATTGTTTCCTTGGTGAGCGTCTCTTTCACTCCCTCAAGAAAGCCATCAGAACATCCATGTCACCACGTCATTCTACACAAGATAATCCCAAGGGCTATTCTGACTAAGAGCCTAAGAGGCCCAGCCCCCCGGGGAGAAGAACCTCGGCCCAGAGGAATGCTGTGCAAAAATAAGCCCACCAGGAAGCCGGACCCACGGGAGCCCCATGACTCTGATTCATCCTGCGGAGGGGCCGCCCGAGGGCCGGGGCACCTTAACGCTCTGCGATTGTGTGTACTCTCCATGAAAAACTTAAGCAGAAGTGACAAGGCTAAGTGAGGACAGGCCAGGATGCTTCAGGACGTTTGGAAGCACTTGCAGAGCCGGGCCCTTGGCTCCAGCCTTCGCACGGTATCGTCCAGAGCACTGTGGAGAGGAGCCTCCTACCAATCCGCTGACTCAGAGTTTCCACAGAGATGACTCTGTGGTGATGGGTGCAGCTTTGGTCTGCGAGACATTAGCATGAAAACTATTCATTAATCACCCACCCGTGACTAGGCCTGAACGGGATGGATTGGGAAGGACTCGATGGTCAGGCCATCTATGCCAAACTATTCCTTGCGTTGGTCCCGTGACAAGTGCCCCTTCAGAGCCTTCCTTTGAACTAAAGACAGTAAAAGACCTTATGAGAAATGTACACACACCCCTACGCATATATCTTGAAAAAGAAAACATAGGAAAAGAACTCATGAATCGTTTTCCATCGATTTAGTTCTAAGTCTGCTTTGGGAAGCCATGTTGTGCTACAATGGAAGAAAAGGTGCACTCAGCAATAAGGGCCTGAACCAGTGGTATTCAAGTGTAAATTATGCTGCTGGTGCCAACGGAGCTTCATACATTCAGATTCCCGAAGTACACATTTCTACAGTTGTAAGCACACGATTTTCGGATGCTGGGACTTGCTGGCCAGCATCAAGCCATTTGTGAAGACCAGACGCAGGCTGGGTCAGGTGCACGCTGAGACGGTGATGGAGCACCACATCCAAGAGTGAGCACAATGACAGTG